AATCCAATGCTTTCCAAAAGCATTGTGATTGGCTCAGAACAACACTTTTGATGTCAACCAAGCAGGCAGTTCATGGGCAGAGCCAGCAACTGACTGAAATAAAAGTAAGATTTTACTATATTTACGGTGGCAGGGGGCTAGGGAGGGGGGCCTAGATGGTGTTTGTGTTCCTTGCCCCATAGTGTTTAAGATTTATTTTGCTTTATGTTAGGTAATATATGGTAATATATATTATAATTATTTTGTGCTGCAGTAATGATGCACTCTTTGCACTGAAATCACTGGTCACAACGTGAGGTTAACATTGTGGCAAACCCTGCCACTTGGACTAATCATTGATGTGAATAAGTGTAATTCACCAAGGGAATTACCACACGAATTGACTGTAATAGTATTGTAATGTTTTTATTCGGGGGGGTCGTGTGTTTCCCATTAATAGAGTGATACATTGTTGCGAAGGGAATTAAGTACCTGTATGGGTGGCTGCCATTTCGCCTACCGAACACGTGGCGGCAGCCATCTTACGCACGAACAGTGGTACTTAGTTGTCGAACGCCTGGAACTCAAACCGGCATTCGACTAACCAAGCACCGCTAAGACCTCCAGCGTGCTCCGACAATATGAAGCTAACACACGAACGCCCCGGCGTTCGGTAGATAGATTCCCCTAAAGGAGGGGAATCATACGAATGGAAGCAATCGTATGGATGGCTAACCGTTCAGTATTTGTGGTTCACTGAAATAGACCGACCGCAGGGTCAGAATGCATGGAACTGTTTTCGGCTACTGAGTCCCTGCGGTCAGTCAAATCTTTAACAGGCTGTAACTCCCGAACCCCTGGTCCGATCTGGGTGAATTTCAAGTATGTTACTCACCCAGATCAGACCTACCAGGGGACCCCTTATTTGTCCCTGTACCCCATGTAATTAGGGGACATCCAGAAAGTGGGGAAAACTCTGTCCCCACTAAGTGGTTTAAGTGCTAATCTAAGGGGAGGAGAGTGACGGGAGGTGACCGGGTTACAATTGGTTACTGTACAAATTATGAAAGTTACCTCCCTTGCATGGGAGAAATGCATAAAAGCAGACCTGTGATTAAAGCTATCAGTTGACTCCCAGACTATGTGTCGTCTAGTACTTGGGGAGGTGGATTATGCTGTGTTCCTGTGATTTTGTATGCTGAATCTTTGTTCCCAGCGGAGAGCCCTTGGATTAACCCCTGCTCCTCCACTACAAACATTTCTAATGATGCTTGGCAAGGTTAAAAATTAGTTTGGCATCACTGGCTTTGTGGTACACAGCAGAATGATTGCCAGAGATTGCCTATCTCTCTATCCAACCCTTTGGCACTAAAATAAATTCAAGCTTTGCTGTGAAAATCTTCCTTTCTATATGTTAATGCTGAGAAAATTGCTTCATAGAGTCTGCAGTCTGTGCTGTTATTACAGGAACTATAATTTTGCAGAGTTGTCTGATCACGCTTTCAGTTGCCTGTTTTATGCTGTAAACAAAGAACTTAAAAAAAAAAAAAACCTGGCTACCAACCAAAAAATGTAACAGCTGAGATTGCAATTATTTTTTTTATGAATTCATCAAACGGTCACAAAAAGCAGCAGTACAATTAAAAACGTTATGTGGAGCAATATTTTTTTCCAGAAAATTACTTAACACCTACTCTTCTTGCATAGGATATTTGCCAACTGACCGTTTTTTTGCCAGCACATAACTAAATGTTTTGCTCCT